CAAGGGTATCTGTGAGCTCATGACGTTTTGCTTCTCCAATGTAATGAACATAGGTTCTTCTAGCTACTTCATTAGTATATGTTGTTCCAATGTCAATTCCATGTTTGGTCTCAAGCTCACACAACTTGGGATATTTCTTAAATGAAAGTTTCTCGGTGGCAATGAAATAAGCTATCTCAAATTTGTTTCTCAGTCTTGTTTTGTCTTCTTCTGGAAGTGCTTCAAGAGCTTTTGCTATGGGAGCATGAGATGCAAGACTCAATCCTTGGATCTGAGCTTGCTCCTTCTTTAAAAGAGACATGGCATGTTTGTGTTGATCAGTATGGGCGTGGTTATTGAGGTTGGAAGTACGAAGCGATTCAGCTCCATTGATCTACTTCTCACTGAAGTTTTTCCTCCCTTTTATCTTGTCTTGATACTTAGAACAGATACTGCAGCTAAGTTTAGTCATCACTCTCTTCCAACTGTCAAACTGCGAATGACAATTTAACCAGGCAAGTGTCTGCAGCTCACAATCATAACCTTGTTTCCATTTTGTAAAAGTATCATAGGTAACACGTCTTTTTTTAGCATCTGAATCCGATGATGAAGATGAAGAGATTGCTCTTTTCATAGCCAAGAGTATAACAGACCAAAGACTAATTAGATTAAAGTAAACTAGAGTGTCCGGCTGTTATGGCCGTTCACGTGCTTTTTGTTCTAGTCACTATCAGGAAATGCCCGGAAATTGGCTGGTGTCCGCTAGTAATTTTGCACTCTGCATGAGGCTCGTGAGGGCTTTCCCGTGATCCCACAATAAACACAAAAGGCAGTGTAACCTCTTGGTGAACCCAGTACCGTCGTGGAGAGTAAGGATGGATTGATCTCCGACCAACTGAGGGAGGTCCCAGCAGCCACAGGCTGCCAGAACCTACAATGATGTACAGTCGTAAGCGAGCTAGACTGCTCCTCAGTCGGACCGTGCTAGCTGAATAATGATCTGGCTGCAGGCCAGGAGCTCCTCTCCGGTCACAGCACTGCTACAAAGGAGAGGTAGTAGTACACCCAAGTCAAGGGGACATACAAGTCCCTCATCCAGGATGAGGAGGATACCGCTGCCCCCAGCTCCCTGAGCTGACTGCGTTTCTTTAAAATTAATGAATTGACCCCTCAAACTCATCTTTACTGCTCTGCCTGGAATGGGAAGCAAGGCTTAAGCCAGTACCAAGGGAAGATTGGTAGAATGGTAGGCCATCCCCAACAATTTGGCCAGCCAAGCTGGGGAGGGTTTTGGGATAGGTGTGGCACACAGCTCCGGTCCAGGAATAGTCCCTGTTTCTCCAGATGGAGGAAGAGAAGTAGTCGCCATACCCGTAGAAGGTGAAAGAGGTACAGTCCTTGGTCCTTCCAGTGGGGGAAGGACTCCAGGAAGCGGAGCGACAAGATTCAATGAACTGGAGGGCCTACCAGCTCCACCTACCAAGGAAAGTGCTATAAAGCCCATTTCCCTAAATTGTGAGACACAGGAGTCGCCTTTCACCCCAAGAAGAAGGCACCTTACCCAGGCCCACGGAGGGCAGGACTCTTGCCTATGGCCTTGGAGGGTGGGACTCAGAGGGTGTATCCAAGAGGGTGAAGGAAGCCCGTGGAAGGCAGATGACCCTGAAGGGCCAGAAAAAGTGAGCTGTGGGAGCCCTAAGAACATACTAGGGTCTGCGAATTAGGTCCCAGAGAGCGAAGAAGCCCAGAACTCCCACCCCAGTAAATCTGTTACAGTGCATCCTCTATTATCCGAACACCTTGGTGCACTTCTTTGGAAAGATGTTCGGATAGCTGAATAGTCTGGATAAGTGAAATACAGCACATAACACAGTAAACCAACCTATCCTATACTTTTCAAAGAATAAATGTGCATCACTTTCCTTTCTCTAACTGGCAGAGCGCTTCAGGTTTCTCTTTAATGGTCTTCCACTTGGTTAAACTCATGCTGCAGTAGCCACTTTAACCGGTTTTTAATTAATTAACAAGTCTGAGCATGCACGTTAGAGACAGCCATGCATTCGGATAAAGGAGGGTTTGGATAACCGGTGTTTGGATAATAGAGGATGTATTGTACTAAGAACTAACTCACCCCTAGCAGGTGGTAGCTGGGGCATATCTGAGGGGAGCCTACAGGTGCCTGGGCCCCCCATGAATTTTTGTTGACAATGATATTTTATTGTTTGTATTATTACCTACCACCTAGTAATAAAAATTAAACACCTTGTAATTGTTTACAATACATTGCACAGCAGCAAATGTTCAAGAAATCAGTAGTAGGCAAAAACAAAACATTCGTTTTTTATTAATCATAATTAAAAATGTAAGAATTTGATGCTTTAAAATACGCAATAATGCTATTTTAGTGCACTATACAAGTGCCAAAAAGGGGTGTGTTCAATTTTTTGGCTTGCTTTGCGCACCACTCATCTCAACACCCTTTCATTATTTTCTTCCCAGCTATGTTTTTGGCAGTGATGTAGTTGTAGGAATTAGGGGTAGCAAGAGGCCCACACCACCTGCACTGACTACAGAAAGCACTGGAGGATGACCTACAGTGCTTAGCAGCAAGGTAATAGCCCTCTATATGAGGGTAGCCAGATCTCTCATCAACAAATCAGGGAAACCTGACGAAGGTCCTGAGTCACCGCCTGGCTTGGAGCCAACTGTGCTAGAGCCACCTCAGCAAGAACTGCTTGCTCCAGAAGTACCTGCTTTGGACCTACTCGGTATACTCACTGCTCCGGAACCACTGGTTCTGACTCCAGGACTAGATACTACACTTGCCATTGTAGTAGGGATAGAATAGCAGTCTCCACCACCGCTGTTGGCACTGTAGCATGAGGGACAATCATTGGTGCAGAAGCAGACACCATTATTGAGCTCAAGATCTTGGAGCAGAGAACATTATTCTGAGCTACCTTGCCTCTTGGTCTTAACCTGTATATGCTCGAGTTAACTTTGATTAATCGTAATAGCTTAATCACCATTATGGGTTTACATGGTATTTAATTTAGCTTTTTTATTACCACAAATAATGCAGCCGCAAATAAATTGGTGGCGAGCCTTAATTTGATAAGATTACCAAATAGGATCTTAATGCAAGCACTGTGATGAGTGTGTCTTAGTCATATAGCAAATTAATCCTTCTTGAAGGCAAACAGTTCATTTTTTAATAGAGTAAACTGCTGAGTGTCCTGCAGTCATACTCCCACAGCTTTAATTGACTTTTAAACTAACTACTTCATTCATTTCTTAATCATTTAAACCTCTTTATGCTCAATTCCTTTGAGCAAAATTACCTGTGGAGGTAAGGTCTGGAGGTTCCCTGTGGTAGCAGATATACAATGTTATTCTATAGAAGCCATACAGATCAAAGGTACGGGGGCATGGTTTATAGTGGATATTCAATGATATTCATTGAATATCCACTATCAACCATGCTTAGTGCCATTGTTTGGTATCAGGCTTCTGAATAAACCAGTTATGACACCCTACTGTCTGCTTTATCTGATATATACACTCAAACTATATTTATAATTCCCTGGGGCTATGCCCTCAGGAATTATGAATATAGTTTTCGTAGTTTTTGTGTATACCATATATCAGATAAAGCCTCCAGTAGGGTGTAATAACTAATACATATTCATTGAATACCAACTATCAACCATGCTTGGTGACCTTTGTTCTGTATGGCTTCTGAATAAACCAGTTATTACACCCTACTGTCAGCTCTGTCCGATATATAAACCAAACTATGTTCATGATTCCCTCAGGCTACGCCCTTGGGAAATATGAATATAGTTTTCCTATATATACAGTATAGCGGGTACTTTTGAAGGGGCTAAAGTTTGGCGAATTGCTAAATTTTGGTGATTGGCAGATTTTTAATTTGGCAATTTTGTTGCCATGTGCCATTAAGCATGCGTATAATGGCTCAAAATGGCGGGTTTTTATTATGGCAAATGGCTATCAAAACGCCAAATTTAATCCTCTCTAAAATTACCCGCTATATGGTATCAGATAAAGCCTTTTAGTAGGGTGTAATAACTAATACATAATGTTCTTGTAAATTTCTGGTAATATTTTCTACAGTTGGAAAATAAAAATGTATAAGTAATACTTATAACATGGCTAGGGGTGATGTATCTAATTTACAGTCACTGATCCCGAGGGCGTGTGTGCCTGAGTGGGTGACTGTAAATTAGACTAGCCATGTTATATATTACTTATGTCATGATGACACACATCAAAGGCTCTGCGCAAATGCATGCGCAGATTTTACCACGTGCTGATATTGAATAATAAAGGCTGAAGGAGCTGGTGAGCAAGAGATTGAGAAGAAGCAAGATATCAGATGATAAAGACATCAAAACTGTGCCTGAAAAAGAGATGGAAACAGTGCCAGAGCTAGAAGAAGAGACGGAAGTGGCATTAGAGGACAAAACACGAGATGGATACACTGTAATTGTACACCCATTCAAAGCCGGATCTGATCCAAACGAGAAAGCAAACAGTTCACTATACAACATCAAGGCATGGCTCCTTGGAATGACAAATTTTATAAGAGGTTTTCCAATCAATGAAATTTTTTACAGCCCTCTTCGTGTAATCGGTAATCCTCAGAGGTTTTCCGGCAATGATGAAATTTTTGCAGCCGTCTTCGTGTAATCGGTACTATCCTGCACCAGTCCATTAAGAATATAAAGAATTAATATGACTGTTTTTTAATCAAAATAATAACAATCTTTGATTAAATTGTGGGTGGCTTATAACATCGTTGTGGGTGGGTTAGGTCACTGTTGTGGGTGGCTTAGATCACTGCTGTGATCTTGCTGGATTATAGTGCACGTGGTACCTTTGATGTGCGTCATCAGTAGGATATAAAGTGTAATAATTACTAGTATCATGCTATTGTTGTGAAACAATTGTCATGGTTTCTATTAAACTCATTGTTTACCATAAAATCATTTAATGTTTAGGTTAAAGATATATGCTGTGAAAAATTTATCGAAAGATGTAAGCTAAAAAAGTTACCACGTGATAAGGGAATCTTACCATCTCTACATTTAGTGAGTATTATGAGTGTACATACATTTTTGTCACATGTGTGGAATCAATTGTTAGGATGGTGTTCATGGCCTTCATGCTGTATCTCTTCCAGTGGTATCGCTGTCTGATGCTGTTCGTGATAGACGAACAACTGGATCATTTATATCTCGAATGACAGCAATTCAGCGACCATGGGCTGATACTGTACAATCTATTAAACTCTCTGGAGAAAATTATTCAGTTAGTACAACAGGTACATGGCTATTAAATATAATATCGTGTATTTTATTTCTGTAGTATTTTATTTTTTACATGTGTAGTATCGATTTGTCATGCATTTTATATAAATCTAGTTTTATAGTTGCTGTACTGTAGTTCACAAATTTCTGCTGATTTTTATAAAGAATGGCTTTTTGAGTTTTTTAATTTTTATAATTTTTTTCTGATACATAATCATGTACATGTACATGTACAGTACTTCTTTTGTGTAGAAAGTTGAAGTTAAATCTGATCAAGATTGTGTAAATTTGCTAAAAAAAATCAGACCTAAACCCTGTGCAAAAATTTCATCTAAAATGTCTCTGAAAATTTTTTCCATTTTTATTACATTTTTATATAGAAAGTTAGAGCTGATTTTGATCATGATTGGATTTTTATGAATTTTTCAAAGTACTAAAAATGAGAACAAAAATTATGTGCAACAGTAAAGTTGTATTTGAGATTGCCCAACGAAGTAATTACAGTATAGGGGTTATATTTCACTGGAAATAAATTTGCAAAATTAAATCCTACAAAAGATATGTGGCACACTAGGAAAAATGGCTGCAGAAGGCAAAATTTATGCCAATAAATGGCAAATCTCAACAAATTTGCGAAATTTTATACCAACAAAATAAAACCCCTATACAGTACTGGTATATGGCACTTTAAGGCTCTTTTTAAACTTACCTTTGTCAGATTTTATTGCCCTTCTAATTTCAAGAGCCTCCAATAGGGCTAGGCAAATTATGCTAGCATATAATTTGGAGCATAATAGGGCAAGTGATTATGATTATAATTGGAGCATAATGGGTCACAATTTTTGTCCATATACCCCTGACCACATGAAATTGCAGTTTAATATGGCAGATGGTGGTACAAGCACTAGTACAATAACTTAGGCTATTCTATTTTCCAGTGACTTAAAGTCTTTGGAAACATTTCCAGATTCTGGCATTATTTATTACAATTATAACAGACACATACATGTAACTTGATAATCGATACTTGATTAAAGCATAAAGCATGAGCATAAAATGAGCATAATTGGATTTATTTCAAAGCATAATAGGATGGAATTTGGGGCAGTGCCTAAAAGCATAATAGGCGGAAATTGAAGCATAATTTGCCTAGCCCTAGCCTCCAATCTTTCACAGGCTTTGTAAACATCAGGAACCAATACATGTGTATAGCAATGTGTCATGTGGAAGTGGTTGCTGTTTTTGGAAACTTTGAAATGATTTGATCTTATTGAATGTTGTCTATGATGCTCTTTACTTCCTAACATACATGCACATGTATGTATATATACATGTGTTAGGAAGTTAAGAGCTTAGAGCACCACTATTTTTGTATAAAATATTGATTATAGTATAAAGAGCAGGGTGAAGTAGAATAGGATACTTTAAGAGAACTATATGTTGACAAGATCAATAACTTTTCATTATTTGGCCAAGTGAAGATTATCCTCAAGGTTAATAGATATACATGTAGTTGGTTCGAGTTGAGTTTGACCAAATGTTTTCATCATCAAAACGTCACATGTACCCCCACACACATGCAAATAAAATTTGTAACTTGTTTATTGACTTTATTCTCGATCCTTTTTTGGTTGCTGCTAACCCTACAATTGACATGAAGGGTCGTTGTGCTTGCTACTACCTGAAGAAAGAATTGAGATATGTAAAATTTTAACAGAGGTTTTGAGCAGCACTAGTGATGAAAAATAAATAAGGCTTAGAGAGGTACAGCAGACTAAAGGAGACTTCTTTCGGGAGTGCAAAGTTTTCTAATTCAATTATATGTTGGCTTGGAGTGTTCTTTTTGCTTTGTTTGATTTATAAATAATAAAAACATGATTATTGACATATTTTATTGAGATGCAAATGATATTCACAAAGCTACACATCATGAAATCTCCCTTTCATGTTGGCCGGAGAACCTTTTGAGAACCTTTCAGAGTACCTAGAGACTCCAAAATTGGTACAGATTTTCGTAAGAACCTGTTTTGAAACTATACCAAGTTTCAAGCTGCTAGCATAAATTATAGTATAGAGAAGTTATAAGGTTGGGTCAGTGGTCAAACTCAACTGAAACCGCTATATACTTATTTAACCTTGAGGATAATCTTCTCTGGCCACGCAATAAAAAAGTTGATGATGTCACTGTCTAAAGTATCCTATTCTGCTTCAACCTTTTTAATGCCACAATTACTTAATGTTTACAGTAATGCGGCACTAATGCCACATGTGCACTGATTCTGAACAATGTTTTTTGGAAAGATGTATACTTGTAATTGCTTTTATAGTGCTCCCTGTAGTGTTCACTGTATTAGCTCTACTTTGGGTTGGATCTTTTCAACCCAAGTCTTTTATGACCTCTTTTTAGTGTCAAATTCCAACTCTGAGGCCTTTAACCTACATAAATAATGCCTTATTCCTTCACATGTTGTATGGTGTTTACATATGTTGTGTACACACCTTGTACATGTGTTGTGTACACACATTGTACATGTGTTGTGGACATGTGGTACACACGTTCAAGTAACTACCTTAAATGAATGCATGACACAAACCAACTTCCATATAATGGATATTTTATATGTATTAGTTAAATTACACTTAGAACAGTTTTTGCTGTATAGGAAATAAAGCACGAGACCACACCTTAAGTGCTGTATCTCCCAACAGCACGGGGGAACTGTGCTTTAGCTAGTTGATGGTCATAGTCCATGGGTGCATCAAAAACATCAGTCTTAAACCAAATTAAAAAATAGCCTAAAGAGAATGAAGCAAAGGAGATTATCTGCTTTTGGAAAGTCTTTAAAGTTGGTCTACCTAGTTGGAATTGGTCATAGCTGCATTTGTACCTCAAACTGTACTGTATCACGTGAGTGTGCTGTGTGAGATATGTGTACATTGTATGCAGCACAGGTGGTGCCTTTGATGCACCCACGCACTATACTATGAATGTCCTTAATAGGGCTGTATTACAGTGCATTATAATGGATGAATCTGGTGGACCTATGTACTGAATGTAGGAAATCTAGCTACGTAGTACAAAACATGTACTTGTATTGATAAACTGTTTATAAATTGCTTATGCTGTGTTTACACTAGCTTCTTTAACTGAGCCAGCCCTGTTTAAAGTTGGCCAGCATGGTTTCATTTGATAGTGTAAACAGTAACCAAACTGAGCTGAAGTGAGCTGGGCCAAACCAGGCCAGCATGGTTAGTACAGGAGGGCCAGCTCAGCCTGGTTCAGCACGGTTTGGCCCACTTCTGTAGTGTAAACACAGCATTAGTTGGGTGATAAATGACACTCGTTTAAAGTAATCCAGTGTGTTTATAGTTTGCATATTAAACAATCATGATTATGTTGACTTATAAAGCTACATGAGTTTATTTAAATTCTAAATGTCACCCAGAATCTGTATGCTATAGTGATACATGCATAGTATAGAGCTTCGTTGAAATGTCATTGTATTGTTTTTCACTGGTTTGCTAGGATTATCTGATGCTGGTAAACTTGTGATTCATTGCTTGGGCTACACCGGTACTGGGCATGAAGATGAAGGTATTGGCAGCATTGACAAAGAACAATCTTTGTCTGCAATTGCTGTTGAACCAGATGACGTCTTCTGGTTGAAAGTGAGATGGATTCTTATTCAATATTAAATTTTGTTGTCTAACTAGTCTAGACACATACAGAAATCATTTGATAAGCAAAATCTTCATACACTGGATGGCAAAAGGGTGGAAAAGGTTTATATACATGTATACATGTACTTTTGAGGTTTTTACTAGTAAATGTACAACAGGTGACAAATAGTAAGTTCTGCTCCAATGAATCTTTAAGAAAACTCACTGGTATTATTGACAAAGCTGAAGTAACATTAGTTGTTTATTGTGCTGGCATGACCACCTTTTTGTTTCTATTTTCAGATAATTCAATCTAGCAATATGGCTGACTTTGCGCACATTGTGTCAAAATCCATTCCTTGCCATGCACTTCTTGCATCAAATCCTCCTTTTTATTTAAATGCAGAGGCTCTTAATTTGGCTGCACTGGATTCTCTTACTGGAGTTGTCAGTCAGGTATTTTGACAATGTTGCTTGTCATTTGTAAATTGAGTATTAGATAACAGTAGCTAGTGAGCAGTGTTTGTCATTTGTTGATCTGTGGGGTGGTCCTAGTGGTTATGGACAGTATGTTTATTGGACAAAGTGCAGTCATTCAATTCAAGTTAGATTACTGCTTTTTATTGTTATTATCTGTGACAAAAAGGGATGGGGTGTTGTCAGATCTGAAGTTCGCTCCCTTCACCCGTCACCAATGTTAGCACGCTTCGTTCAGTGGGATACATTTCAGATTTTAGGCTCAGTACAAGGTTTAAATATAGTTAGCAATGATACAGTGAACAGGTATGCTAAATGTTAGTACTTTAAAATAAATATTATGTAGAACTGCACTTGTAGTATAGTTGCAGCTGTTCAGTCCGAATGTCCTGAGGGTGTGCAGTTAGTCATTGGTGATGTTTCATCACTTCCATTTGGATCACATCCTCCTGGAAATGAAGAATGTCACACTAAGCAACAGTTTCTCACTCAGTGTGTATGTGCTCTTAAGGTACATCTATGTGTGTACATGAAGTGAATGGACTAGCATTTGATACTGTATTCTAAATTATTAATTTTGTCTTATACATCCATACACATAAAATAACTAGTTGATGTCACATGGAGGATCCTTTGTTTGTCGTTTGTACAGTCTACTGACTCGATTTTCTGCTGCTCTTTTGTATCTATTACATAGTGTTTTTCATGAAGTATGCATCATAAACTGTATCTACTGTGAATATAGCTTCATAGGTAGCTCTAATTAAACCTATAACTTCATCTCCTGTGTCACCAGAACAGTTCATTGTTTGCAAGGGATATGTAGGATGTCCTACTATAATTTGTGATGTAAGTGTTTTTTATTTGTGACTGGGATATTGTATACACTGTCACAGTCTTATGAATGGCTATTATGTTACACGTATGTTTATCTTATCTATAGTTGTTATTGGAAGTGAACAATCACATATCTGATCTGAAGCAACACCAAGGCTATGGACACAGTGGTTCAACATCTGATGTTTTGGAAATAATCCCAGTGCAACAGTTGTTTGATGACACGTTCTACCAATATCTTGCATCACACAATGAGAGAATGCTAAAATTGCAGGCACACACACTTTTAAAGCTGGAAAAGTATTACCTTGAACCACAAGTAATATTCAATAGTGCCTGCCCAGTTATTAGTACTATTAATAATATAGGTACTTTCCAGAGATGATATTTCAGAGAAGTTAAAACTAGGTATGCTAGAACTATTAAAGCTACCAAAACAAATAATGTGATAAATTTGTGTTTTGTGAGTCAACAGAAACAGAAATTAATTTCTTGGTTATTAAAATTAAATATTATTACTCAACAGTAAGAGTACTAGTAATCTAGTTTACTTTTTAGTCTACTTAAATAATGTTTGACGACCTTCAATGATTCGTGTAATCTTTAAACGATGAAGCTTGCTTGTCACACCTAGTTCATTTTGAAGAATGTCATCATCAATTTCTAGGAGTAATGATCCAGTGATTTGTTCTTCTTCAAATTTTTTCTTGTACTGGCCTAAATTCATGTCTTCTAATAGTTTCAAAACCTGCATTAGAAGTATAATAATATCTATTAATATTTTGTAATTACTTCCGTCACAGAATAATTATCAAGTATTTCCTTGTTTCTTTCTCTTGTATCATTTGATATTTCTAAAAGATACAATGAATCAAAAATCAAAATAAATTATAATCATTTTGTATGATACCATTGTCAGTTTTGTTAGAATCCTGCTTCCTTAGCTGACTAGCAAGACTTGCTGTATCAATGCTATGTCTTTGCATCATTGAAGGTGACAAATTGTGTTTAGGTGTAGGCAATATGGGTAATGAAGGTATTGTTGAAGGCAATGCTGCTTGAATTACTTGTTGATTAAATGTTCCTACTTCTTCGTAAGTGTCTTCAGAAATTTCTGCATCTTCTTCCTCTTCTTTTTCATAAAAGTTAGTTGGCAGTATCTTATTACGTGAGGGAACTTGTGCCTGATTGTGACTTGGTGTTGTTAGTGTAGCTACTAGCTCCTTACTAACAAATTCCTTGCTCCAGTAATAATCTTGCTCCAGACACTGAAACAGTGCTGTTTGGATTTTAGTATCAATTGGAGTAGTAATGTGACCAACAACTTCTGCAACAAGGTTCGGGGAGAAAGTGGTCAGAAGATTTCGTGTCATTTCTTTAAGCACTCGTTCTTCATCTTTTGATAGAGATAGGACACAAACTTGAATTGGTGCATCACTGAGAATTTCAACCACATTCTTTGGAGGGTTAGAGCTAGGGTTAGCAGAATATGGTGAAGTAATGATGGATTGTGTCTCAAATTTATTTGTTAAGGTACAAATGAGTGATTCAGGAAATCCTACACATGATGAGCCATGACTGTCAGGTGCAGAAAAAACAACATCAATTGGTAGTGTCAAATGATCGATAACACTTGCTAATACCAATCTCAACAAAGAGGTATCCGTTGAGAAGGAAGCAGTACATGACATTTCGAGATTTTTTTGCTCATATGAGTGAATATCTATGCACCACAATGTATTTTGTCCATTCAGAATCTCTGTGCCCTTAATTGCAAGAATCTGGCCTTCTTCAACAGACGATGTTTCTTCACCACTTGGACTAAGGTAGCCCTGAGTTGTGTATACTATTTGGGGTAAAGGTGAGTGTTGCAGAAGTTCCTGAACGCCTTCAAAAACAGTCCCTTTCTTGCGAGGATTGTCATATATCGGACTACACATAAAGGTCGATCTAACGGGAACGAAATACTTGGCCCCTTCCTTAGATACAGCCAGCACAACATCACTCTCCTTTTGGAAATGAACACAGAGTGAATGACCTTCACCGAAAGAAGCCTTGGACCGCACTTTCTTTTTTATCCCGTAGGTAGAAACAACGAGTGGTAGGTATTTTCTGTACCTTATCAAAAAATCTTTTATGTTCAAAGGGCTGGAAGTGCGACTAGAAGAGTCCAATGACACATAGACATCTGAGTTTAAGGAGCTTGTTTGATTACCCATTTGTTGTCTCGCTCAAGTTCAACTGTCAAGTCAGTGAAGTCACACAACTTGGGTGTGGCCCTGAATGAGCTGAGCTGAGCTAGACTCTGCATGTAGATAAGAATTTCGCATTATAGTAATTTCTGTCTCAATTAATGGATTCATAGCCATAGCATCATTGTCATCCATTTAAAGCAAAAATAATTAATAGTGTGAGTATTTATAAATCTATTCAAATTAATTTAAGAAGTACAACATTAATTTTAGCAAGAGTGCATAATATTATGTACTCTTTTAATTTTAGCTAAATGTATTTGTTAACTGAATGATGGCCATTTACAAGAGCCATCAATTTAATACGATGAAGTCTGACAGTCACACCAAGGTCCTCTTCCAGCACCAAGTCATCCAATTCCAAAAACATGCTACCATCAATCATTTCTTTTTTGAAGTTTTCCTTATATTTACCTAAAGACATCTTGTCCAACAGATTTAATATCTAAAAATGCATGACATTATGATTATGTAACATTAAAGACAACAATGTTTCTTCACCTCATCAACTGAATAGTTACCAATAATGTCCTTATTCATCTGTAGAATTTCATAATCTTGTCTTTTATGCGGAGCACTTTGAACAGGAGAGTGAGGTGAGGAGGCTATAAAAATATAAAATGGGTAAATAATGTGAAAAACGTTTGTACCCATTATTTTTTCCAGTTCTTCAAGACGAGAAATTAGCTTGTCATTTTCATCTTTCAATTTGCTAAAGGAATCATCACTTAGTGCTTGATAAGCTGGGTTATCTTTTGAAATTATTGCTGTCTCTTTGAGTTCAACACTTTCACTCTTTTTAACCAATGATTGAACTGGTGCTATGGATAACTAAAACACTCAACATAATTTAACAATGATCGCAAGTAAAATTACCTTCTCAATAGGTCCTATGGTATTTGAACGTAACCTTTTGGGTACATCTGGTATCTTTGATGAAATTGAAGAATCACAACTATGTTGAATTCTAGGAGGTATAGGTGGGGGAATGTCAACAACTGATACGACATTTTCCGAAGCTGAAGAACTTGAAATGTATCGATCTTTTGTTTCTAACAAAGCATCTGTAGTACTCAAAATGGTTTCATAGTTGCATTCATTTGCATCAATAATATCTCTCTTCCATTGACTTTCTGTTATGGAATGCAGCAATTGCTTTTGAAGGTTGTCAGCAGTTGCTGAGGCATCTGACACAATATCTGTGAGAAAAGAAAGATGGAGCCTGTCTCCTAAAACATCTCTATTTATTTTAAAATGTCTCATATTGTCTTCTGATATTTTGACAATTCGAACATCAATGGAAGTTGTGGAAGTTACTTCAATAACTTCATTTGGCACTTCCTTTACAGCAAGAAAATCACCATCAATTGAAGAGGGTGGACAAAACGATGCAATGACAGACTTTAATTGAAATTTCTTGTCAAGAGTGCAATGTATGGGAGGACTGGAACTTTTATTGTATAAAATCACATTAACCGGCAGTTGAAAATATTGAAGGAATGTTTGTAGGTCCAGTAAAGCCAAAGAGGGTTGCGTGCTAAAGTGACCTATGCAGGAGTATTCAAGGGATAGTTGAACATGTGTTGTGGCATCAACACATAATAGCCTTTTCTTTTTTCTTGACCTGGTATCATTAACTTTCACTATCAAAACTTGGCCCTTCTCAATAGATGAGGAATCTTTTGAGGATGCTTTCCATGATTGACTAACGTACACTACTGGAGGTAAATGTTTTGCTTTGGCCATATCAGCTACTGATGAAAAAACGTACCCATTGTTGGCAGAGTGTCGGTCATTATAAGGATCATAAGGAATTGCCACTTTCATTGATGTATTGACAGGTATGACTCTAGTCAATCCACTTATTCTGCCAGATACGACATTGGTTTTTTTCAAGAAGTAGACAAGAAGAAGTTGACCTTCCATAAATGATCCTGAAGAAACTCCATAAATAGACTCATTGACTGCTATGACCTGAGGTAGTCGATCAGAGAACTTTTCAATAAACAGACTAAGAGAAAGTGGAAGAGAATCTATTGATTCGTATGCTATATCACTGACAACAGCCATAACTTGCAATTTTGTGGGAGTATTCTTAAGGAATGTGTTGTGTTGTTTAAAAAAACACTCATGCATTACATGGTGTTTACTTTGTTAAGTTAGTTTGCTAACAGGTCTACAATGTTTTTAAAAGATGTAAACTGAGCATACTAGTTGCTTCAAAAATGTATACAATACCCCATTATCTTTGAAATAGATGAACATCTTTTTGTCAATTGATCAAATATCATGGATATGCACTTTATGCTGGGGAACAAGTACAGTTCTTTGAGAATTCAGTACAGTGTACTCCAAACAAGGAATCACAGTATTTGTAGTAGCAATAGTAGCTTGCTCTATGATAATAACTGGATATCACTAATTGACAGTGACTAGTCTGGCTCTGATCCAGCCAGGCTACTCTGTTGGCACCGGAACTGCATGAAATGGTGCGGTCATCCAAGTAGTAGATAGTCAAGATTTCAATCCAAAAGCACTTTTGCAACAAGTATCTTCTAGACATTACAATTTGACCACTTCCTAGATAGCAGTAAACTATAACAAGGACACTAACAATCCACTCCAGATTGATTTCAATAAGAGTACCATTTTACATGGGCCTGAAAATAATTATAAATAAAGCAGCAAGCATTTACATTTATTATAACATCTACATGTATCTTAATGCCACTATTTTTACAAAATTGCATAATTTGAACCTTTAAACTATCTAGTATTGAGATGGCACACTAAAAATTTTAATGACTAATTAGACTAAATCTAAATTTATACACCAGACGTTCTTAAAACATTATAAAATCTTAATCAAAACAAAATGTAAAACATGGTTTGTACCTCAATAATAATTAATAATAACTATTCGTATTCACACAAAATCCCTAATCAATTTAAAAGAGATACCGGCAGCAATTTATTTTCAAAATTCAAACTTTAGAAATGCATTCCTTAACAAGTTTCATCAGCATAGAGCCAATCACAATCTTTTCACAGTTTGAAGTAATAGTAGCATTACTCTCTTTTACTTTAACTGACAGCAAAACCGGAACCTTCTCAGAAAAGGTACATGCAGCAAACTTTAAACAAGACTCATCTGAAGATTGAACAGGATGCATGTTAGCAGCATTCATGATGGCAGCACTAATATCTTTTATAGCTGCTACTGTTGGTGTCTTAGAAATATTTTCATGCATACCAGTCAGCTTATCTAACAGATTATATTATTAATAAGCATAAATGAGCTAAAACATCTAACCTTGAAGAGCATTGAAGCCACTTTCACTTATATTTCCACATTGTAGTAATTCACCAACAACTGGTTCAATTTTAACTCTATATTTTCGATCAGAACCAACACTAAATAAAAAGTAACATTACAATCATCCACTATTGTCATCATCTTCATTCACTATCAGGATTAATTTTAAGTCATTAAAGGAAACAGGCAAAACATACATAAGAAGATTAGAAACAAATTAATAATACTAACCAAATATCAAATTTTGCAGGTTGAAGTGTGTCATTAAAATCTATGCCAACAATAGCTGTCATGCTTCCACCAGAAACCAACTGTGACAACATTACATTAGCTTCTACTTTCATGCCTGAAGGCAACTGCATTGTGCCTATGGTTATACCAGTCATAGAAGAGCCACTTGTGTTATGAAATGTTAGCTCAACAGCTATCATCTTATCAGAAGAAAGGTAAGGCTTTCTCAAAAAACGATAGGTAGCTCCAAGACCATTTCCAGATATACGATTAAGTAGTTCAGATGTCTCCTCACAAACCGACACAGGTGCCACAGGCTATAAACACAATTATGTGTAATGTAAATGCATATGTAGCAACATACATGTAAATCCTTACATTTATAGTGTTACCAAAAGATTGATTTGAAGCAACAGCCTTATCACTTTGCAGAGGTTTCAACATATCACTTTGTTGTGATGTGACAATGCTTGCTGGTTGTTCTTCCCCTAACAAAAAAAGAAAAAATAGCAAAACAAGTTGAAGACAAAAATTTCTCTGATCAGAAGTATACATGTACATGTACATCTAGTCCAACAAATAATGCTATGCAATGACAAAACGAGCCCATTATGACATGCACATTGTTGCAGCACAAAATACAAAAATAGATTAGGATAATTTAAATCAATTAAAATTAAGATAGCCAATAGCAGCTTAAATCAATTAAAATTAAGATAGCACTGCACACCTTTATTAAAAAAATTATTCTGTATTGTATTATCAATTTTAATAGAAAAAACAATCAGTTGCAAATCCTCCAGCAACCCAATAGCTGATTCTTTGAAAAAGTTATGTATACAAAACCCACATTCAAATACATGTACAGCAGCTGTGCACAAAATTCACCTTAATACCCATTAGGCAATAAAATAGATAAATTAATATTGAAACTCACAGTTATCAAAGTCGATAAGGGAAGATGATTTGTTAGTAGTTTCTTTCTTTGGAGCCTACAAAAGTAATTAAACAAGTGTAACAGAGTAAATATATTCCTATAACTGTTTTCACCACCTTGCATGTACATGTACAACTGGGTTTTTATTAAGACTTATAGAGATTCTCTCTACCTTCTAATGCTTCTAGAGAAGTCTTTAAACAGTATCTCTATGCTCTCTTGCCGTTAGAAAGCACAACTTTGTCCCATGTGTAAGCCATCATTTTGTTTTACTGTGGCCATACCCATTACATAAAGGAGCGTGGGTGCCTGGTTGCTAAGGCTTGCTATTTCTCCAATACAACGTGTGTAGAAGAAATGTAAGTGTTGACATACAAATATATATTGCACGTGGGTGAAATCATAGTTTAGGAAGTATCAGAATAAGCATGACAAAATTAAAATTTTCTATAAAGACTGGGCAAATGACAGTCAAAAAGAGAAAAAGTTGTAGTCTCAAATCTTTCTTCAGCCAACACGATAACAAACTGTCTTCATAAAAACAACAAATTTATCATAGTTGTGCCTATCGTGGTTGGGACAACCACTTCAACAAATGAACAAACCAGTTCATCACTTAGACCAACCATCCAATTAATACTAATAGCCACACATAAAGCATCATATTTTAGTCTACTAGTATGGTGTACATAATTTTAAAAGGAGCAATATTAGTCTAATTTTTTAGGCAGAACCCTGCTTTATGATTTTCTCTAAAGTACAATGTAAATATAGACATTAGAGTTGTCTAAATACATTTGTACTTATACATGTACATGTAGCTCTAATGCATGTTACTATTCAATGATAAAGTGTATATGTACATGTAATTACTATTAACAAAGGTAAAATTTTCATTATTTGTAGAAATAAAGTATTATAAACACTATATCTTATTAATCTACACTGTACCTTAGATTTAGCAGGAATGATGTCAGCACTGTCACTCTCAGATTCTTCGTCACTTTCTTCTTCCTCAGAAGTAGTAGTCTCCTCATCACTATCATCATGGGTTGGTTTTGCCTTATTTAACAAAAGTCAAACCAAAAAATAAACCAATCATTATACTTTGACATAATGCTTTCGTAAATTCTCCAAAGCATCTTCCTCACTAGATGTTTCCTCTTCTTCATCACTATCCTCCTCACTGTCTTCTTCACTATCTTGCTCACTCCCATCTTCACTAACACTACTACCATCTACATGTACAATGTATAAGTGAGCGAGACACACATATGTACATGTACCCCATGTATGTGTATAACACAATCTAGAGGTTGGAATGAACTACTACATGTACATGTAGTTGATTCTATAGTAAAATCATGGTGCTAAACCACTGACCACTCCATCTCTCCATAAAAAATCAAATTACATGGACACACTATTCATGTACACGTACCTGAGTCGCTTTCATCCTCAGATCCTGATTCGTCAGTGCCAGATATTGACGAATAAAACTCATCACTCCCAGATTCTAAAATGTGATTAAAATGATGGAATTACACACGTTGATGTACCTTCCGAACTATCAAAAAAAGACTTCTTCTTTTTATCTGATGACTTTGGACGACTATAAAACTTATCATCCTTCAAAGATCACATCAATTTGAATTCATGAAAGTAAAGTAATACCTCAACATCTCTCACTGAAGGATCAGGTGCTTCTTCAGGAAATTCAGGTAGAGAATTATAACCACTTGCTTCAGCATTAATGAAATGAGATAAAGAGCCTAATTGCCAGCGAACTCGAGCTACATGCATAAAAACAATGCAAATCATAAAAAATATAAATAAAGTAATACATTTAAAATGTGATTCAAGAACAGAAGCTGGTTTAGAAGCCATAAGAATCTTTTTAGCATATTTAGAAAGAGCTGTTTCTTCTTCCTGTAACCAAGAATAAAACTTTTAAAACAACAAAAAACTTACATCATCCGGCATAGTTAACTGTCGAAGAAATCTGGCCCTGTCTCTAATGTCATAGTTTTGATCATATTTAGCTAAGTTCAGAACATACTGACACAACAATTGAGACTGCAAAAGTAAAAAAAACAAATATCAATTGTAAGGTGAAATATCACATTGTTAATTAAGGAACTACAAACAAGTACATTGAGAATCAAGAATTAAGTACAGCATACTGTATGTGATTCCTGCTTCCTAGCTAAAAAATAAATCACTTTATCGTGAGTTAGGCAAAAAATAGCATTAAAAGCAAGGCCACAACCATTAATTTCATTTTACAGTTGCCTTTAAAGGGTAACTTAATGCCAAAAATATTTTCCCTGAAATAAATTGGTAATGAAGAAAGAATCATAGGAAAAAGGCTAAAATTATGAAAAAAGTACTGTTTCCATACTAAATCTTGGGTCAAAAGTTTGCAAATTTTGCCTCGCAGCCATTTTGTCAAATTACTTCCGGTGGTGGGCGTGGTCACGCAATGACATAGGGAACATTAGCAAGTTTCTGCATTCAAATATTAGCAACTTTAAGGCTGGATTTCTAAGTTCTGCTTGCAAGAAAGCAGCTAAGAGGTTTTTTGCAAATATTGGAAGCTATACAAAGCCAAAATATGGAGTCAAAATTTAAAGCATTTTTCTGAAATAGATAAATTTTGTTACCAGCATTAATGTTTGCAGTTAGCTCTTGATAAGTTCTATTATGGTCTACTTCATTTAAATTGCTTTCTTGCATGCAGAACTTAGAAATCCAGCCTTAAAGTTACTAACATTTCAATGCAGAAACTTGCTAATGTTGCCCATCTACATCATCACGTGAT